ACCTGCAAACATCAGGAGAAAAATCTGATTCTAAAATTGTTACAGACATCAAAAATTGCAAAGTTATTTCCAATCAAGAAATGGAGGAATCAGACTCAGAAGATGAAATAAACTCATCAGTGCCATCTTCAATGGAAGTCAGAAAAGCACTTAATGTATTGCGGCAAGCTTTAGAACAAAGAGGAGGAATATTGAAAACTATAAAAACTTCTATAAACTCTCAAATGATGTTGAAAAGTTAATTTTAAATACTGCAACTCAAGCAACCATTGATCGGTTTTTTGCAAAACTTTTGTAAATTTAATCTTATGTAGGGTTTTACTTTATTAAAATAATTAAATTAGTTAAAATAAAGCATTAATGTGATCATTATTTCAGCTTTTAAAGTGTGTGCAGTTTTGATATATAGTAAAATTTGTTTTTTTTTTTTTCAAATGTTGAATCGCCTCTTAATAAAATCATCCGCTTAATAAAATCAAAAGAGCATAAAACAAAAGTGATTTTAATAAACGGCGGGCACTGTATGTCATTTTCCTGGCATTCAAGATTTGGTGAATTTCTATTTTTTTTTCTCGAGAAAATGTCAATAAACTACACTGCTGTCTGTAAGATATTAATAAGTGTAGCTAAGAAGAAGTATACAAAAAAAATTTTAGATTGTTTTAAAGACTTTACATTTGAAGACATTTTTTGGTCCGAATTGTCATGTTTCGTGAGAATCACCCATATATTAATGCAATATTCTACACATTTTTAATTAAGCATTAATCCTGTTTTGGTAAAAGAATAAATAAACTGAAATAAAATAACACTGTAGCTTAGGTTCACTATATTTAAAAGAAACTTGATTACTAATACTAAAAAAAAACTTTTCTTTCACAGTATGTGGGAAATTGCTGTAACTTTGTGATTTGAAGAGTGTTCTTAGAATATTATTGGAAACTTTTTCTTCAAATGCTGTGTTAATAAAAGCTAACTTTCTAATGAGTTTTTAAGGAAATATCGAAAAATCTGATGGTTATAATCACTTCATACAATGCTTTTAAAAATTGACTTTAGCCCAAACTCGTTTAAAATGTAGTGTCTTTTGATGCACTTATCTTAATCAAAGAAACAACTTGGTATATAACTATTTTTCTCGCAACTTGAATACAAATGTGCAGAATTTAGGAACAAAAATTCTATAAATTTTGTTCAGTGAAATATTTAATCAGTTTAACTTGCTCAACAGTATATTATATTTTTAAGGAAGCCATAAGCACTGATATTAAAAATTAAGAGAGAGAGGTAGCCGTTTCGGAACTGTAAACTCGTTCTGAAACGGCCACCTGTCTTTCTGACTTACATAATTGTGTTTATCACATTGTTTTTACGTTATTTTACTGTAAGCGACTCCGACTTCTTTTGACTAGTCACCGTTATTAAACTTTTCGAATGCTCAGTTCATTTGCTCATTTTCTAATTTTAGTACATTAGTCACTTTAAATCGTATGGCATCCCATTGATTAAGGAACTGAATAAATTTTAAAATTTCAGCTTTTGGCTTAGGAACTATGGTGTATAATGGCTTAGAATTTGGTTCATTTTTTGAGATTCCTTCTTCTTCACCATGCTACAGCATCCTCCTTGGTATTAATCCTGTACTACAAATGATGTTCACATTTGCCCAGATGTACTTTATTTTTGCAAATGCTAGGGTAAGTAAAGGCATTCTAATTACTCTATTTATAAAGAGATGTCATACTAACATTAAGCGTAAGTATAAATAATACTTTTCTTCCTTTACGCTGAGATTATGATTGTAAACTATAGTTAAATTCACCAATTAAATGTTTTTACTAAACGTTTGAATTTGCATTCATGCGTCGTCAAGAATGCGTGCATCAACATCAAAAAAATACAATCCTATAAATTATAAATTGATATACTACATAAATTGGATGAACTAAAATTTTTTAGTTGAATATAGTTGATAAATTTTATTATATAAAGATATAATATGGAGCTCTCTTGTACTATTTATGTTTCTATTTTTATTAAATATAGTCTAAAGTATTAACTTAAAACTTTTGGCCATAAAATGTACTTTGAACAATATTTTTCTCCCTACAAAGGACCATGAAAGAGACAAAAAGAATATACAAACAAGCACAAAGAAAACAATTATGACATTTCATTATTGACTTTTAAATATTTTAAATTTTTATGTCAAAGCATTCATTTAATGTATATGAAAATTACGGCCACTAAAGAGATTTTTTTTTAAAAATTCAAAAATATCTCATATATCATATATCTTCTGAAAATATTTTATTCCTAGAGAACATCTGTGTTTTTAAACACAGATTTTTCCCCTTTCATAAATGATGTCCCGATAAAGAAAAACAAATTTAACTTAGCAGTTTTTCTTTTTAGAATAATGCAGAAATTTTCCTTCAATTCCAAAGTAGACGAATGGTGCGAATTAGTCACAAAGCTAAATAGGAAGTTAAAGTAAATCAAAATTACGATAATATGGCTAAACTAAGCACCTTATTTTAAGGTTGCAGAAACGTGAATAATATAAAAGTTAAACACACTCTGAAATTATAACAGTGTACTCATCTTTGGGGTTTACAAATGTAGCTGAAAAACCCCAATGCATATTAACAAAACGCATATAGCAACTATTAATAGTAGAAGTAAAATCCACCTTTGTATCGACTCAAATTACTGTCATCAGGTACGTGCAATATGAATGCACGTTCCAAAATCATTAAGAATAATGTTTTTATATGCACCACACATGACTTCATGCATTGCGTGTTGCTATAATGATTGTATTGGCTATTGATAAAAATTGAAATTTGCATTCATTTTTATTTGGATAGTTGGATAGAGAGAAATCGCTAACATTATTTGCGTGCATTTTTGATCGAATGTAGAAGTACGTGGTAAGAATTATGTAGTTGAAATAAAAACTGTAAATTTAAAAAAAAGAGAGAAATTAAAGACGAATTTTGTTATTACGCATAAGGAAAATATATGTTTAATTAAGGGTTTAAAGGTTCTTCGAAATGGAAAAATTAAAAAAAAGTTACAAATAAAATGTCTATAAAATAACCTAGAATTTCAAAATATGTTCTATATGTTCAATTATTTTCCGCCAACAAAAAGAATAGACTCAAAAACAGAAATTTATTAAATGTTTAAATGAAGTATTAAACTTTCTCAAAAATATATTTATTACTATTTAAAAATTTTTTAAAATTAAAGAAGAATTAACAATGAACCGATATAATTTCTTCATCGGCTTTTAAATTATTACGCTTTTTAAATTATTACAATAGCTTTTATTTAAAGATTTCCAATAGTTCTCGTTACCTTCATCATTGCTTTAAAAACTTTATTCTTAATAATAAGGGAATTATAAATAGCTATAACAGTTCAACTAATTTTTCTAGAACTGATCTAGCTATTCAGCAACTTCAAAAGAATTTTTGTAGTAACACCACCATAGACAAAGCTAATAACAATTATACTATATTTTGTAAAAAATTCTATTTCTAACTTTTAAATAAGTAGTTAATAACTAGTAAATAATTTATGCTTGGCAATTTAAGCAATAATATTGTTGTTAAAAAATCTTAGGTTTCTATAAGAGTTTAAAAATTAAAATTAATAATGTACAATTTCTATACTTAAAATTTCTCCCAAAATTTCATTAAATACCAATAAAATTTAGAACGATCACTTGTGGGTCCACTACTTACTGAACTAAACATTGCCCTATTTTCTCTAACTACTTAAATTAAATTATTAATGACATTATTGAAGCAGATTTTTAATGGATTATTACCAATAATCAGTCAATTTTATATTTTATTAAATGCAATAAAATTAAATCTAGAGAGATCTTTGGTTTCCAAAATCTCTTTAATAGCATTCCACTTTCGAAGCTAAAAGAAGTTATTTTGAGTTTTACCACAATTATAAAAATATTCCTAAATTGCGAATTTGATTGCTGGGAAATTCTATTTTATCTGTGTTTTTTTATAATTATTTTCATAAGGGAATTTTTTTTTTATTCAAATAGATGGAGCACTACAAGGCTGTATTTTTTCGTCATTTCTGGATGACTTAACTTTACAATATTATGAAAAAAATTGTTCACTAAATATCAAATTTGTTTTTAGATTTATTGAGGATTTAATTATCTTTAATTTTCAAAACAGTATAATTTTGTACAATAATATTTACGCATAGGTATTAATATTGTTTCGTTATCCTGACGATAATATTAGCTTTAACTTTTTCGATTTATTTACTATCTTGGCTAACTAAAAAGACATTGTTTTCAAAGCAAACCACACTCGCAACAATATCAATGAAGGCAGTCTGGGGTCAAAATTTTATAGATGCATGTACAAATATTTCAGTTGGAATGGTCTGAGGGTTTTTCTTCCTTGCAACGTAATCTGTTTACCAGTTTTGAATCTAATTTTTAGATTTGGTGATAATAAGTTGTGTTGTTCCTTGAGCTAAAAGCAGTTGGCTGTTACATTTCTGTCTCTTTCAATTAATATTTAATTGAATTTCCGGTGTTCCCAAAATGTCTGATCAGATTGTCAATCATTTTGGGGACACCGGATTCTATAAACCGCATTTTCAGCATGAAATAATTTTATATCAACTTTTCAAAATACCCTATTATCTAAATATTTACAATTAATCTTGAGAACTCTTGAAACAAATATGTATGCATTCATAAGGATAATATTGCTTCATTGGTTAAATATATTTTCCTTGTTTTTAGCTGAACATTCATAAGTTTAAAGTACTAGCAAGATTTGGTTTGATGCATGTTGTTGCTACAAATATTTGTGTCTGGATTCGCACAGTTGGGAAAGAAACACTACAAGAAATAGTGAAACATCATCTTTCTCAAGAAAGAGGACATCCAAGTAGCTTAGAAGAATTAATTTTGCCATTTAGAGGTAAATACAAAAGTTTCGCAAAAATGCACAAATTTCGCGTAACTAATTGTAATTATTTCATTATTATAATTCGCTGTAATGTTATCAAATAAATTAAATTATTGGGTTGTTCGGAAATTTCGTTTTTTTATGAAAATTAAAAGGGATTTTCACATAGCGAATAAATATTTTATTGAATCATATATTGCCCATTCTGGACCAATGCCTTTGCCAGTTTTCAAGCAGACGCAAGATTCCACGAGCATAAAATGGTTGTTCTTTGCTGGCAAAAAACTGATCCCGGTGATTTTTAACTTTCTTATTTGAAGTAAAGGTTTTATTTCTAAAAATATTGGAAAAAGCAGAAAAATTATTGTTGACGACCCATTTCTCGTCCCCTGTGATGAGGCGCTTCATAAAAAGATAATTTTCCTTACGTTTGAGAAGCAAATAACTGACGTCAACGTGACGGCACAAATTTCTTTCAGTAAGAACATGACGAACCCCTATGTCGCGCTTTGAGATTAAACCTTAGGCTTTTCAAATCATCATGAGCTGTCGAATTCAGTATGTTTAATGAAGTGATCTCACAAGTTGTTATTTGCCGGTTTACATTAAATAATGCCTTTATCGTGTCTACATCAGCTTAAATTAGCGTGGTGCATCTTAATCGGAATTTTGCGAACCAGTTTTGGTATTGTCGTACTAGCAATACATCTTCTCCATACACATCGGATAAGTTTTTGTCTTGGTTGAATATTATTTCTATTTTTCGATAGTAAAAGAGTAAAATATACCAAAAATTATATTTTATCCTTTTCCATTATTGAAAGAGCACCAACGAAAAAACTACTACGAACAGTCAATCTAACCTTTTCACAAACAAGCTATATTAACTGTCATAAAATATAATGATTATGTGACTTAAGTGTGAAGTTGGCTATGAAAAAATGTAATAATGTCCTCTGTTGAAAAAAATTTACTTTCCGAGCAATCCAGTATTTAATTATATTTACTGATAATCGAGTTTGCATCCTCTACTTATACTACTTTATCATCAAATTTCATGACTTTTGAACTTATGAAGTATCCGGGAAATATGTTTGTTAACTGAATAAATTGAGTGAGATTTCCCTGACCCTGGACAACAATTGGATATTATATTGTTTTACCAATTAATGTCTTCAAATGTTCAGTATAAACTAAAATCAGCTAGACTGGAAAGTAGAGCAGGATGAAGTTTAATTTGGTCGTTTTTATACTTATAGCTCTAAAATTTGGAAACTTAAATAGTCAAAAAGAGCTAACGTTTTCACGAAATAAATTGTTTAAATGTTAAATGACGCAATTTCTAAAATTTATAATAGTGAACTCTTAGAACATACTAATGATTATAAGGTATACAATTGTATTATAGTTTAAAGGTATAAAATTTTATATAAATTTTGACATTTAAAATTTTACAATATTTTTAACATATGAAATTTTTCAATACTTTTGATGTATTAAAATTTTCAATTTTTCTGATGTTTAAAACTTTACATTTTGGACGCATAAAATTTTACGATTTCGAGCGCATAAAGTTTTACAATAGTTGAGACACATGAAGTTTGTCGTTCAAAATTTTAAAAAGACTAGACTACTTTTGACGTAAAAAGTTTTACAACAAATTTGATACATAAAATTTTACAATATTTTTGACATATAAAATTTTGAAGAAGTTTTACAGGTGAAGAAATTTATTTTCATTACTCTCAAAATCATTTTTGTTATTTCTATTTACGAACATTTAATTACAAAATCTTCAATTATATCATATATGGGTGGTTTTCCTTTAAACATGTTGTAAGTATAGTCAGAAACAAATGAGGCAACCTTAATAAACGTTGATATAATTGAAGCAATTTCACGTACTAAATAAAATGAAAACACAAAAGAAGAGTGGTCGGAAGTTCAAGTCCATAAGTGTTTCATTGTTGTAATTAAATTTGACTGGATCCGAATAAATTTTAATAGAAATGTTTTTGCGAAATAAAAAATTACAGCAACCTCATTTTTAGTTTTTTTTCCCTTAAAAACTTCTCCTCTCAACTTCATTCTAATGTTTAATTTCGCAATAAATTTATTTAGTTTAAAACAATGTAAAACTTTTAATAGCCATTAGAAATACCTTTTATTGTATTAATATAAATACCGTTAAAAATATCGCTGAGATATCTCTTAAAAAAGAATTTTAATTTATTTCACTTTTTTTATTATTTTCTTCTTCACGAAAAATCATTTTCGTCTCATTGTCCATGTGATTTCCGAATATCTTTTTAGATTTATAAATATATAAAAATAATATACAGGGTGCCCCAAAACTCGTGGTAAATACGTTAGGGTAGATGGAAGACAACTAGACAAGCACAAATCACCATACAATCCATGGTCGGAACGAAAGTCGTAAAGCGCTAGAGCACAAAACATGCTGTGTCACAAAATGATGGGAAACAAAACAGACAGAGATGGAATGAAAAGAAACCGATAAAACGAAGAAAAATACTTTATTCAACAAAATGAAATTAATTAACACTAAATCTCCCAACACAGGAACTGCTTAAAATTGCGGCCACCAATGTTTACGTAGGCTTTATATCGTCAAAAGAGTGACGGCCGTACATAGGCGAAAACACCCAGGCAGCTCTCTTATGGTGTCCAGCAGTCAGTAGCAACGGATATCCGGGCAGCTATTTTCCAATCCAGTGACCATTAACGACCCACTTCCTTGTTAAGCAATTCTTTTAGTGAAAAAAAAATCTTAATTTTTACACTTTTTTAGTTTAGGTAATTTTTTGTAATATATAAATAACCGTCTTAAAACAGCCGACCAAATTTTGGTTTTACGACTACTTATGTTCAACTCTGTAGCCTTGTAACTTTGAACCAATCCAGAAGATAAGGAAACTCCTCTATCAGTATCCCCAGAGGTATTGATTTGATATGGGAACATGGAGGACTTTGCGACTCGACAGATTCAACATGCATCAGTCACCATTTACTACACGGGGAGTCTTCAGCCGGCAGTGATCGAACCCACGAATTCTTGGACATGGGTCCAGTGCCCTACCAACCTGGTAATAAATTTAAAAAAAATAANTGTTCAACTCTGTAGCCTTGTAACTTTGAACCAATCCAGAAGATAAGGAAACTCCTCTATCAGTATCCCCAGAGGTATTGATTTGTTATGGGAACATGGAGGATTTTGCTACTCGACAGATTTAACATGCATCAGTCACCATTTACTACATGGGGAGTCTTCAGCCGGCAGGGATCGAACCCACGAATTCTTGGACATGGGTCCAGTGCCTTACCAGCCAGGCTATCCCGCCCCCTAGGTAATAAATTTAAAAAAAAATAAAAGTTTGTATTATAATTAGGACCAACTATAGCCAAGAGGAAAATCTTTAAAAAAGAACAAAAAAAAAGCGAGTCGTTAAACGCCGCTGTATTGCAAATACGCATCCGGGGAACAAGGTCTTCGGCGAAATCTATGGGACCATCGTCGTAGATGAGGATTTCGTATGACTCCAGAAGAAAGAGTCCAGACGCAAAGTTAAAACTCCATACCCAGAAGAAACGTTCATGCCGTTACTACTTGCGTTTAGACTATGGATTGTATAGTGATTTTTGCTAATGTAATTGTCGTCTATCACCCCCTAACGTATGTGCTATGAGTTTTGGGACTGTATATGCAATCAAACTAAATTAATTGCTTATAAACTTAAATATGGTATGCTTATTTAACTAAATTAAGTATAGTATTTTTTTTCTCTTTAACAGAAAACTACATTAAAAACAATAGCAACCCATGCCAGAAGCAAGATATTATGGGCTCCATTGTGTCTGATTCATCTCCTTTCTTATTTCCATTCATTGTGGAATACAGTTTAATTGGAGCTGCTGTTTTGTATGTGATGTGGAAAAACATTGGCAAAGACCCAGTTTTTCATGGAAACCAAGAATTCGAAGATGGACTCTCCCGTGCTTCAAGCGTACAAACTCTCCCAAAAATGAACTGCGCTGGATCCAGCAAAGGTTTATTTTTCGGTCTTCTAATTCTTGTTATTGCCACAATCTGCTTAATAGTTTTCTTTGTTTTGATTGAGAATGAACATTACAGCTTACTCGCCATTTTCTTATCCGATGTTTCTCATAGTGCAATTATGGTTATGACAATCTTCACTATTATTGTCGGATTCTTTCGCATCAAACAGTTGAAGTTTCAAGCAGACCGAACTGATCACTTACGGGACATTCTTCTCACTGTAGCTGCTTACGGTTTATATGTTTACGCTATGTTTGGCATAATCGCGGGGACATTGTCCCCGAAGGATTATGTTCCAAATCTTCTTGTGATGGTAACAAGCTGTCTAACGATAGTGCAAGTGACGTTACAGTCTCTTTTTGTGGCTGAAATTACCTGCCGATCTACTTACCTCCCAGAACACGACCAATCAAAACCAGGAAGGCAAGTGGTTGCTTTCTTGATGATGGGGAATCTTACTCTTTGGATAATTTATACGTTTGAGATGCAAAAAGCTGAAGCCAGTCCTGTACAGTTAGGATTCTACGGATTTATGGCATGGACAGTCATTGTCAGAGCCACGTTACCATTAAGTATCTTCTATCGTTTTCATTCATCAATAACGTTTGCAGAAGTGTGGAAAAACTCTTATAAAAATGTTTCTGCTTAATAATAGATCTAGGATTATTAAATCAATAGATAGGAAAGTTAATACAATTTAAACCGCTATTTATAATAGAAAATATATACATCTGGAAAAGTGATATGTTTGGAAAAATAAGGTAAAAATGCTCAGTTTAAAATGTGGGATGTATATTGTTATAATGTCATAGTTTATAAAGCTTCAGCCGTTTTCTCTGCTACATGTTTCAAATTTCTTAAAATGTATTTATTTATTAGTTTCCATCATGGTTTATTTGATTTACATTTTGAAGAGAAAATAATGTCACCCATACATCAGAAGACTCATATATATAAATACCATGTTTCTGAAAAAATAATTTATGAAAACTGGAAAATAAAGTTTATTTATTAACAGTAATGTGTTCTTCAATGTGTTATTTTATTTTTTGCAAAATCTATAAATTGTTTTTACACTTTTCAGAAACTCTTATAGCTTAAAACTTCAACACTAACTGTACATTGATCGGCACAGTCGAAACTTTTTCCTAAAGAGGTTTTCAAAGATAAAATGTTTGATATAAAATATTATCAGAATCAGACATCAGATCTTTAATTTTATTTCAGGAAAGCACCCATAGTTAAACTTTGCAATCGAACTGAACCTTTCTACATAGTGTGAGAATTTCTATTTTTTTTTAATTCATTATTTTGTTATCTTTGGTTATAAAGAAATTAGTATGTAAAAAACGTGAGTTTTGATGAAATTTTTGAAAAATCTCATGGATTTTAAATTTATTACCAAACTATTATAAATAAAACTGAAAACAAGGATTTAGTTATTCAAATCTTTAAAATTTGTTCTTCTTTGTTGATTGTTGAAACGTGAACGTAGAAAGCAGACTCAGAAATTCTAGATAAGTATTAATATACACTCTATAACAAAAAAAATCGTCGCACCAAGAAGGAGTTGTCCGATTGAAACGAAAATTGGTGAATTATTCTCGATTACTCGAATTTTACNCGATCCAATTGTCGAACGAGGTCATCAACATTCCGTGCCAGATGCAATCGCCTTCCCATCATATCCCAGACATGCTCGATGGGAGAGAGATCTAGTGATCTGGCAGGCCAAGGAAGAGTTTTACAAGCTTGCAGACAGTTCATAGCAACACGTGCCGTATGTGGTCTGGCATTGTCCTGCTGAAAAACCAGCCCAGGGTGCTGTAAAAGGAACGGTAGCAAAACAGGTCTTAGGATGTCGTCGACGTACCGCTGTGCAGTAAGTGTACCTCTAATGACGACCAAATGGATCTGGCTGTCAAAGGAAATGGCACCCCAGACCATAATGCCTTGTTGAGGACCGGTGTGGCGTGCAATAGTGAAGGCAGGATCTCCCCTCTGCCCTGTGCGTCTTCAAACATATCTTCGATGATCGTCAGGACACAGTTGGAAGCGGTATTCGTCGCTAAAGACTATACGTCCCTAGTCGGCATCATTCCAGACTGATCGAGCCATGCACCAGTGTAATCTGGCTCGGCAGTGTGCAGGCGTGAGTGCTTCTCGGTGCGTCGATTTTTTTGTTATAGAGTGTATAATCTCGATAAATATCAACAAAGAGTTATCTTAATAAAAATAATCCAAACATCGTTTTAATGAAAGGAGAATATTTGGCTTTAATTGTGTCAAAAAGACGGGAAAAATTTGATTTTTTAAAAAAACTTTATCGGAATATTTTAAAAATTCATAAAAAAACACCAACATTTGATAATTAATTCGAAATTTTCAAAAAGTTCAAAAGTATTTTAATCTTTAGTTTTAATAGCACATAGCTACAAAAAAATATTTATTTTCTTTAAATTTATTTTACTTTTATATCGAAAAATCCATAAGACTGTCAATATAAGCGATTTAATTACTTTAAGACAAATTCGAAATACAAACAAAAGGAGACGCATTGCCAATTTTCAAACATAAGAGTTTATGGATGTAAAAAAAATAACTTTCTCTACACTACATTACGTGTCTCAAAAGAAAAAAACAACTTTGAAGGAAACTAACTCTAAAAATAATGATTGCCTCAATAACATTTTCATATCAAAAAGTTTTATAACTGGCTCTGGGGATAGAGCGTTCGCCTTCCAATGAGGTGAATCGGGTTTGAATCCCAGTTATGGCTGGTCGATACGAATTCCGCACCCGGTTCACACCTACCACAGTGCTTACTTGTGGGCCAACCGTGGAAGATTTTCGTGGTTTTCTCTCTCCTTGTAACACAAATGCGTGTTAGCTCCATTAAAAAGCCCTTCAGGAAGGCAAAGTTTGTCCATTATGTGATCCAGGAATTTCCTTGTCTTCTGGATTGGGTTCAAAATTAGAAGGCTACGGAGTTGAACATTAGTAGTCGTAAACTCAAAATTGGGTCCGCTGTTCAACGACGGTTATAAAATAAAATAAAAAGTATAGGAAGAAGAACGAAATAAAAATAAATTCTTGAAGTTAACGGTTTGCAAAGAGGGTTTCTGATTGGGAATCTTGCAGATGATTAAAAAAATTTTTTTTTGAATGTTTGTTGTTGTTGACAATTCCTCTTCGACATTTCTCTCTCACATTCAATTCTAGATGCGTGCACATGACAAATTGAGAGATTCTACTACACTGAAAAATATATTCTTACATAATGCAGTAGAGGAAACAGAGTGAAATAAAAATAAATTCAAAGAATTAAAAATAATTCAGGAAGGCAAAGTTTGCCCAATATGTGATCCAGGAATTCCCTTGTCTTCTGGATTGGGTTCAAAATTATAAGGCTACGGAATAGAACATTGGTAGTCTTAAATCTAAAATTGGATCTGATGTTCAGCGACGGTTATAAAGTAAAATAAGGCAATTATCTGGAAATGAGCAAAATTTCATATTGTTCCATCGACCAGTCCTTAGTTATGTTAAGCTCAGTGAAAACCAAGCTCGGCGAAACTTTCCTGAAACAGTAGTATCATGGAACTATTTTTTTAATTTAAAAACTTTGCATTAAGAAAAAAAAATCAAAAAACCTACTTTTTTAAAAAATAAAAAATAAAGCAGAACTTTTGCTTAATCCCAGGATGGCGAGTGTGATGATTTTAAATATTGATTTGACCAATCTTTCATATAATCATGTCTAATATTCGTAAACCGGAACGTTATTCCATCTCCAAATCTTTTACTGAAACAATGCGCCATCATCTTCTGGTCAAACACCCAGCATACAGTTTTTTATACAAAAAAATATTAATAGAAAAAAAAAGTTCTGCCACAGTTAAAAAAAGTTCTGCAACAGTTTCGAAAATTTCAACTTTTATGAATTTTCATTTTGTGTTGTTGTTATTTTAAATTTTCATCAATTAGCTATAAATGACTTTGGATAAAACTGAACTTCGGGTTTTGATTCGTTATTGCTATATACGAGATCTTTCAGCAAGAGATGCTGCAAGGGTGCTGTAGAACTTTATTAGCAACCTAATATTATATTTAAAAAAATTTATAATAAAAATGTTTTTAAATTTTTTTTATGAAATTTAATAAATATTAAAAATATTTTATAATACATACATATATTTTTAGAAAAAAAATATTTTATAAGATATTTTTTCATGTTTTAAGATTAATTTCTTTTCTTACTAAAAACTTTCTTAAAATAATTTAAGCACATCAGATCTTGAATATGTAATGGTTCTAAGCCTGTTGCTGGATGAATACCACTTTAACACTTTACGACGTAGTTTATCCAATGTAAGACCACTTATCTAAAAATAATACAAACCATTTGAAGTCTAAATTATTTGCTTCTAATTGCTCACCTTTTATTAGCAACCAAAATTCTGTAGTAGTTGATATCTATCCGCTTAGAATTCATTATTTTATCTACTGTTGCTGATGTGATGTTTGACTTGCATCTACATCTGAAATTGCGTGTTTCGGTAAATGTTAAAGATCAACAAGTATTAAATACTTTGAAAGGATAAACAATGAACTCATCCTTGTTAAGAATCTTTTACCAGAACGTCTACTGGTCAATTTTTTTGGATCGGTCAAGCATACACCCATGCATGCAATTAAAACAATTGAAGCAAAAGAGTAAAATGAAAGTTTTGAAGCACATACTAGATTTAGTCTAAAAGGGACAATTCTGATTATAGTTATTTGTTTAAACCTAATTATTTAGATCAGTAATTCTCAATCTATTTATACCTATCAATCACTAGAAACCATACCAAATCAAATGTATACCACATACCTCTTCAGGTTAAGATACTTATTAAAAAGAGAGCATTGCAATTTAATCGGTGAATATAGTTAAGCTGGCCCATTTAATCTCTATATTAAATAGGCCTATTTCCTCTCTATATTAAATCTCTTTACTAAATTTTGAAAATAGTAAAAGAAAAATAATAAATAAAATATGGAATGTAAAATATAGTTGTCACACTTCTTTTTGGGGAAAATTTTGGGGAAGATGTAAATGGGAAAAATAGTGATATCGTAGTTTCTGAAAGAAAACTCATTCAGAGTCATCAAGCCACATAAAGTTCGATTATTCCACTGAAAGCTATTTAATAAAAAATATTTAAAAATTATTTTTGCAAGCATATTTTTATGCATTTACAAGGTGATTTGCAAGGAATTTACGCAGCAATTTTTGGGGCCACTGGTTAAGAATCGCTGATTTAGATGATTGAATATTTAATTTTCATCCAAAGAAATTGAGAAAGGAATTTATACTAGATAACTGCTTTTATAAAATAAGATTATCAAATATATTTGTAGGTGAATATGTTTGTAATGGTCAATGGAAAAGAAACTACCTGAATATGATTTCCTGTCGTCGCGTAAGAGTAATCTTTTCAATATTTGTGGTGATTTGTCCTTGTCCACCGAGTTGTCCCATCATCCGAGGACATCCTCATTAAGTCGGGTGTGTGAAAGGTCATCCAGGAAACAACGCAATTATATAGACAGACATTTATCAATCTGTAGACAGAGTTCTTAAAATTGTTGCTCACTTCAATAACATTTTAATATACTTCAAAAAATTCAGAATAATATTTTTTAACTCAAGTGTATGCTCGGAGAGTGGATTAAAGTTGATAACAACTTCAATGTTTAAGACTTCTGTCTGTGATTCATACCATATTTACTTTCAAAGCAAAAGTTTCTACATTTTATTGCATTTTAATTGGAATAAAACACAAAAACATTGCGTAAAAACTAAAAACAAAAAAATCTCATTCAGATAGCTGCTTACTAGATTTCAGATAGCTGCTTACTAGAGCTTGTCTAAATTGAAAATTTAATATCATGGTATATCGTAGGAAATATCAGCATTTCACGACATATCTCGATATTTTTTCCCAAATTTACAT